CTCTGAGTAGCGCGCGTCACTTCCGGCGCCCCGGCTGGCAGAGCATCCGGCGTGTGGCAGAGGCAGAGAAGCGGAGGAAGGAGTGGCGCTGGTTCTCTCCTAGGCCCAGGCCCCCGCTCCGCCCGGCGCCATGGCGATGCAAGCGGCCAAGCGGGCCAACGTGAGTGTGTGGGCCCAGCCCTGTGGCGGGGAAGGGGCTGTGGGCCGTTTTGGTGGGGGATGCGGGCACTCACCGGGCCTGGGAATTTGGCAGGGGGGAGGGTAGCCACGTTAATAGCCACCCTTCACTCCCCTGCCAACAAATTTCCAGAGCGGTGGGGATCCCTGGGTGACCCTCCTGCGTTATACTGTCATTCATAGGGATCTTTTGGGGTTTTGCGTGGGGGGGGGGAGTTTCCTTCCTGTGAGTTACTTTAGAAGTAGGAGATTTACCGTCGTGCCCCCAGGAGCGTTGGGAGATAGACGGGCCCATGACCGCTGTGAAATGGGGGAGGCAGACGTGACACGTTACCTCCTTAAACTGACCTGGAAACGCCTGGCTCTCACGTTTCAGATTCGGCTGCCTCCGGAAGTGAATCGGATTTTGTACATCAGAAACTTGCCATACAAAATCACCGCTGAGGAAATGTATGATATCTTCGGAAAATATGGGCCCATTCGACAGATCAGAGTGTAAGCGGTCTCGTTTATTTATTTATTTTTTAATGTAAAAAAGAAGTAATGGGTGGTTGCGATGCGTTTTTCTGAAGGACGCACGAGATGACAGCGGAGGGGCGGCAAGGGACCTGATCCTTGTTGTGGCAGCCCAGGCCCAACCCTCTCCTCACCATCTGCCCTGAGGTGCATGTGTACCTGCTGCCAGCAACGAGCTGGACCAGGGCTCCACAGACCTTCGGGGCAGCCACTTGCAGCTTCCCAGGTACCTCCCACAGTCGGCCCAGGCTCTGGGCAGGCGCCTGCTGCCCACCACAGAGCCCGGGCTGCTCACAGCAGGCTGCAGGGAGGCTGCAAGCAGCTGCACTGGGTTCTGCGGAGCCCCAGCTTGGCTGGTTGCCAGCAGCAGGTGCCCGTGTACCTCTGTCGACAGCAGGGAATTGTTACTTGGAAGGGTTTCATCTGATGTGGACCTAGAGAAGTGATGGAATCAAGAAGTATGGTACCTTTTTTGAAATGCATTGAATCTCTATGTGGGTTAAAACCATTCTCTGCAGTTCATAAAGATATTTATCTTGCAGGACTGAAATAGTATGAAAAGCTCCATTTGTAGCACTTGGGATCCCTTGTAATGCACCAGCTCAGGACAAAAGGATGGTTGCAGTCAGTGTCCAGACTGAGGATAAGCTTCCTCCAGAGGTGGTGCAGTTGCCTACCCTGGAAATCTTCAAGAGGAGAATAGACAGTCACCTTGTTGGGGTCACCTGACCCACACTTATCTTTCCTGCTTGGTGCAGGGGGCTGGACCTGACGATCTTCCAAGGTCCCTTCTGGTCTTACAGTCTGTGAATCTATGAATTCAGAACTTACCACAGCAAGTGTGGTGGGGAGTCCAGAAGTCGGACAAAACCAACAGCGACGGGGGTGGGGGATTAAAAATTTCAGTATATATAGCAGTGGTTCTCAACCTTTTTAGATATAAGGCGCCCCTCCAAAAATGTTCAAATTTTAGCAGTACCCTGTTAAAAATGGTGAATATTTATTAATAGCAACTAAAACCAGTACCCTTATAGATTCAAAAACAGGACAGCACTTAAGTACAAGCTGAAATCTGTTTATTAGATTTATATCCTGCCTGTCAAAAAGGCTTAAAATATGTGTATAAGTTATGTCCTAGGTAGAGATGCTTTCTTTATTCAGAGCCATAATGATCAAAATACTGCTATCATAAAAAATACTACTATCATTGAAAATTAGGGTTGGAAGGGACTTCAGGAGGTCATCTAGTCCTACCCCCTGGTCAAATTAGGATCATCCCCAACTAGATCATCTTAGCCAAAGTTTTGTCTACCTAGGTCTTAAAAACTTACTTTGCTGCAATTTGAGATCATTGTTCCATGTTCTGTCATCTGCCACCACTAAGAACAGTCTAGCTCTATCCTTTTTTGAATCTCCCTTCAGGTAGTTAAAGGCTGCTATTAAATTTCCCCTCAGTCTTCTCTTCTCCAAACTAACTAAGCCCAATTCCCTCAGCCTCTCCTCAGAAGTCATCTGCCCCAGCCTCCTAACCATTTTCATTGCCCTGCTCTGGACTCTCCAATTTGTCCACATTCTTTCTGTAGCAGGGGGGCCCAAAACTGGACACAGGGCTCAGAATGTGGCCTCACCAGTGCAAAATAGAGGGGAATAATCACTTCCCTCCATCTGCCGGCAGCAATCCTAGTAATGCAGCCCAGTATGGTGTTACCTTTCTTTGCAACAAGGGTACACTGTTGGCTCATATGTGGCTTATCCACTGTAACTCCTAGGTCCTCTTCTTCAAAGGTACTGCCCAGCTACTTGGTCCCCAGCCTGTACCGGTGCATCAGATTGTTCTGTCCCAAGTGCAGGACTTTGCATTTGTCCTTGTTGAACCTCATGAGACTTCTTTTGGTCCAATCCTCCAATTTGTCTAGGTCTCTCTGAATCCTAGCCCTACCCTCCAGTGCATTTACTTCTCCCTCCAGCTGGGTGCCATCTGCAGACTTGCTGAGGGTGCACTCCATCCCATTTTCCAGGTCATTGATGAAGATATTGAATAAAACTGGCCCCAGGACTGATCCCTGAATATTTACCTGAATCTAAGATGACCCCCAATAATTAGATTCTGTACATAGAAAATTATAAATTTGTTATGCTTTTCCATGTATATAATCTAGCTATTGGACGGTCATCTTTAAATCATACCCTCCCCCTCCCTCACGATACTGCAGGGGTAAGTGTTGTGGGTAGTCAAGCTGCTGGCCCCCTGCTTGTGCCTGCCACCTACCTGCCCCCTCCCCACCACCTCTGCTTCCCGCTTTCCCACCACATACTCTGCTCCAGCAAACTGAGCATGGCCCTAGCTCAGGCCCCACAGCAACTGGGTGGGCTACATGCCACTGCTTCAGGGCCGGTTTGGGGTCACACCCCAGGCTGTAGTGTGAACTGAGCCTGCCAGTGCAGAGCAAAGGTAAGGGTGGGGGGGGAGGGAGAGGGGCAAATGGGTGTGCAGAGACTGTGGGAGGTGGGTAGATGGTAGAGTGCAGAGGTAGAGCAGGACAGGCAGCAGCTGCCACTACAGGCCTAACCCCAAGTAGGGGGCTGGAGCCTGAGTCACAGCAGTAGCTTTTCCCCCACCTTGTACTTGACTCTGTTATAAAGGGCTTTTGTCCCCATGTTATATGTGGGGGGATGAACCTCATCTTTGTGCGGGCCGGCTCCCGGTCCCGTCCTCGCCGGGCGCGAGCCGGGCCCGTCTGTGTGCACGCGGGCTGTGGCTGGCAGCCCGGGCACGCGGGGCCAGAGAAAAACCGCAGGGTGGAGTAGTACGCTCGAGCTAGAATCAGTCACGGAGGCGTAATGGTTGATTGAAAAGATTATTTACTTACACCGGAGATGGTCGTGGTGCAGGCTGGACAGTTTCCAGGTACAGCTCCGCTTCAATCCTCGTTGGAGGACGCTAAAACTCAGTTCCCAGGATCCTCGGAGTGGTTCAGACTCCGTGGTTTCGATAACTGGGTTCTAGGGTAGGGATTCGTCTGGACTGCGATCGG